TATCAAAGGTATCAAAATTAAGGGTATAGAGTATTTGAATGTACAATACGCAGAAAGACACCCTTTGATATTTGGGCGGTTTGAAAAAAACCCTCGTTCTACTATAAAATTTTTTTAAAAATTTTTTAGATACTCTGGTTTAAAAATAAAAGTTGAAAACTAGGGCGGGTTTTTGGAAGGTGCAATTTAGGAAAAAAGCGATTTAGAGTTTTTTGTCCCCGGGAAAACGGTTTTTTAAATGGGGGCAAAAGGGCCAATTTAAAATTTTAGGGAAATAACTTTTTTCAACAAAAATTACATTTTATTTAAATGATTTCTTCATTTCCCTTCCCAAAATTTAAATGAAGTTAAAAAACCTTTTTAAAAATATGGTCCAGAAGATTTTCTTTTTTCCTATAGGAAAAATCCCCAGTTTAAAAGGGCGCTTGCTTTTTCCCCAAATTAAAATAACCTTTTTTAACTTTTAACCCCCAACCCTAAATTTTGATGTAATTAAAGACCTACAAAATGTATTTTTCAAATTTATTTGGAATGATGGACCGGATAAGATAAGTAGAATAAAACTCACTCAAGATATATGTAATGGTGGGCTTAGAGCGGTTGACTTAATACATTTCATCAGTGCTTTGAAAATCACTTGGATAAGAAGACTTTTATTTTCAAACACTAAATATGCTTTTCTTGTACAAGAATTGTGTCCAGCTCTTTACCAGTCAACCAAATATGGTAGTGACTATTTGTTACAACATAAAAGTAGAGTAAACAATTTGTTTTTGGAAGGATGTTTTGAATTCATTTTATTTATTTCAATGTAAGATTCGTTCAGGTAATTGGCAGATTTCTTGTCCAATCCGGTATGGTTAAATCCTAATTTCAAAATTGCAAGAAAATCGTTTGAATTTAAACACTACTTAAGAAAAGGTGTTTTGTTTGTCAACGATTTTGTAAATGAAAATGGGTTATTCTATAGTTTTCAAGAATTTCAAAGATTATTTGATGTTAGATCAAAACTTTCTTGAATATGAAGGTATAATACGTTCCTTCAGAAAAACTTTGACGGATTTTCATGTAAATCAAAATGATATCAAAGTAAAAAACCCGATATTGCCAATTGCCATCCAAATACTTAACAAAAGTCGCAAAGGATGTCGAGCAATATACGACGTGCTGGTCAATAATAATCGTCAGACAAAATCAGAAATAAAATGGCAAAATGATTTTTCTAATATTTATCTTAACTGGAAAAGTATCTACTCTCTACCCTTTAAAGTGACTAAGGATCCAAAACTTTTATGGCTTCAATATAGAATAACGCATCGTATTTTAGGTACTAATGTATTACTGAAAAAGATTAATGTTAGGGACAACGACAACTGTACATTTTGTAATATCAATCCAGAAACCATAAAACATTTATTTTGGGAATGTGACATAGTCAACATGTTTATAAGGGAAGTGCAGGGCTGGTTAACAAACAAAATTCCAAATTTATCTTTTTCATTTTTCAGAACAATCTGTCATTTTCGGCTGTTCCCGATCCACAGTTCCAGAGAATAATATATTATTATTATTAAAACATTATATTTACAAATGTAAAATGAAGTCCGTATTGCCATGCTTAGAGGCTTTTAAAAATCAATTACTATTTTTGGTTAAAACAGAAATAATTAATGCAAAAAAATGCTTAGGTTTGAAACAATGCAGGATGTATGGAAAGAATACATAAACTTAATCAATGAAAATGAAAGTACCTAACATTATTAGCTGTAAAAAAATTGTGACACTTATTGTTGTTGTAACTTAACTCTTTAATAATTGAACGTTTGTGCAGAGTAAACTTTGCCTTTTTAAAAAAAATATAATAAGAAAATACATATAGTACTTTGCAAATGTATGAATTTGTGTGTATCATTTCAGAACATTGTTATTACATCAAATTTCATGGTATTGTATTATTGTATTATTTCATGACTTTTATTGTTTGCATTGTACAATAAAGAGAAATAAAAAAAAAAAAGTAGCAAAGAATTACTAGATGTATTTTTCCAGTTCCTTTTGTTTGCTGCCATTATTTAAGTATATGAAATTTTAAGTTTATCTGATATCCCATACAATATCATAATTACCGTCGTCGGATGCCCACGGTTGATTATAATGTAACATAACATAAATGTTACTGGTTCCACCGTAGGTATCCGACGATGCATAATTACTAGCATCATTTGAATGAATTTTGTACCCTAATTGATATCACAAATTCTAAACTCTTTTTACTTGCATAAACAAAATTTTAGCTACTTAAAATGAAAGTTATTGATGACTTAAGAACTTCTTTTACTAATCAGAGAATTAATGAACCATATACATGTACATCGGACAAATTATTTTAAACAAAATGTTAATAACATGTTTTTGACCAAATCACCATTCTCCCAAATGAGCCTGCACCAACCAGAAAATTAAAGTGGTCCGACAAAATCAGGTGGTCTCGGACCAACGGACAACCGCTAATGTCGAGGCCTGCTGAAGTTGGCAGCCTGAAGTTGGCAGCCTAGCAGCCTAAAGAAAGCAAAGGATAGTACAAACATGAAAATGGTCGGAAATACTTTAGTAGCACTTCCTTACATCATTCCACGCCTTTTTATCAATATCGTGATCTTTATTTTTTTTAAGATGTAGAATTTATCTTAACATAATTTTTGCATTCTGACGCTTCGAAATTTGTGAAGTTAGCAGCCTAGCAGCCTAAAGAAAACTAAGAATAGTACAAACGTAAAAATCGTAGGAAATGAATCGGTAGCACATACTTAGACCATTCCACGTCTTATTTCAATATTGCGATCTTTATTATTTTAAATATTGAACTTTATTTTCTTTTCATTTTGACGCTTCGAAATTTGGGAAATCAGCAGCCTGGCAGCCTAGCAGCCTGGCAGCTTAGCAGCCTAAAGAAAACTAAGGATAGTACAAACATAAAAACTGTCGGAAATGAATCGGTAGCACATACTTAAACAATTCCATGTCTTATTTCAATATCGCGATCTTTATTTTTTAAAATATTGAACTTTATTTTTTTTTCATTTTGACTCTTCGAAATTTGTTGAAGTTAGCAGCCTAGCAGCCTAGCAGCCTAAAGAAAACTAAGGATAGTACAAACATGAAAACCGTCGGAAATGAATCGGTAGCACATACTTAGACCATTCCACGTCTTATTTCAATATCGCGATCTTTATTTTTTAAAATATTGAACTTTTTTTTTTTCATTTTGACGCTTCGAAATTTGTGAAGTTAGCAGTCTGGCAGCCTAGCAGCCTGAAGTTGGAAGCCTAGCAGCCCAGCAGCCTAACAGCCTAGAGAAAACTATATAAGCTATATTGGAAAAATATGTACCATCGGAAAAAAATACTTGCCTAGAAAACTATATAAGCTATATTGGGAAAATATGTACCATCGGAAAAAAAATACTTGCCTAGAACAATTACATGATGTATGTTTATAAAACAAATTTTGAAAGATCCAACGAATAATTTGTAAAGGCCATTAGCGATGACCAAATGTTATCTTAAACAAGTTCAAGCTGTAGCCCATCATTTTCTAATAACTATTCCCAAAACAAGATGCATATCACAGCCCATTTATTTAGGATAAAAAATGAATTTTGTGATGCAACGCTCGAGCAAGATTTCAGGTGTTTCTTTTGACAAAAGTCAAAGAACCGGTGAAAGTATTACACAGAAAGATGTCAATACAGTTTTGAAAATGAAGTGTTTGGAAATGGAACTCTCAACAGATTAAGTAAAGATAGCAACCAACGCCTAGGTAAGCTAAGGACTTCTTAAGTAAAAAGGTACGTCTTTTACCAAGTAATTATTACTGTTTAACCTGTTCAGTGCTATTTTAATTCTAATAGAAATATTCTAGTTTGGTATATAAGTTACCTGTTCACGAAGAAAGACTTGGTACAAGGTATAATTATCCTGATTACATTTTCCTTCTAGCAATAATCATATTAAATATTAAGATATTAAAATAAAATTGTACATTTAAACAAGATGTAAATTAACTGCTGATTTGCAAAGAAACAAACTTATTTTGGGATAAAATTTAGAAATGATAATACAAATTACAATATTTTGGATCAATTTTAAAATCAAAATCAATATTTGCAGAGCGGTACAATACGTTTTTAGACGAGGTGAAATGATAAGAGACAGACATGGTGGAGTTTAGATTGTAAACACTAACAGGGAAGATAATTTGACAATAATAATAACTATTGCATCTATATACCGGTATTGCATCTATATAACAAAAATTATCTTCTTTTATGAAATAATAATCTTGCTTAAAATTTGTCGGATTTTCACTGAAGGTATTTATCTTGCCTATACCTGTAAATGCTAATATATTACATTTTTTCAAGAATCATTATAAGTATCTTCCCGCTGAATTTTGAATAGTAAAATTTTGTGATTTATCTTTATTCACTCTAGATTTTCTCTTCGCATTTTGATAGTGCATTTTCATCGTTGATATCTGATAATTGAACTCTTTTCTTGATTTTGATAAACTATTGTTGATCATTTTGAATTTTTATTCTTCTTTACTAATTTTTTACATATAGTAAATATTTCAGAGACTACGAACTTGACGTCAGAGTACCAGGAAAATTCAATAATGAGTTCTGAGGCAGTTTGGTGGAAGACCAAAGGGAAGGCAATCTGTTAGAATGCATTACAACGTTGATGAAAGCCAGATATTTGCTCCGTTATTTTAGGACTAACCATCATGCAAAGACATGCTTTAACGACTTTCATAATTTAACGAGAATTTAATTCAGACAAAAGTGAACACTATTTAAAACAAGGGAGCTAAAAAGTGTTTATTGGATAGTAAATGAATACTCGTAATTGTTCGAATGAACACTCACAAATAAATTGTATTTTACATTAGGATTCCTTCCGATATTTTAGTTACATCTCCTGAATATTTCTTTTGTAAAATACTTTTCGTCTTGTTTTCTCACTTTTTATAAGTGTAATTAGTTACATTGTACATTGATTCATTATTGAATAAATCACAGTCACTAGTCAAAAATTGAGCGTTTCTTCTTGGCGTTGGCTCTTTTCTCTAATTCTATTCTTTCTTGCTTTATTGAACGTCTAAGATGAGTCCTCAATGGCTGCTCTCGTAGAGGGTCTTTCCCACAAATAACTATATCATACACCGAGCAAAGTTCACTGTAAAACATATAACAAAGTACTTGTTTTATAGGAATTATTTGGTGTAGATGTTTCGTCTTGATAAACGAAATCGTAATCTTTTGAGACTGTTTTCATTACTTGAAGGAAATTAGTATGTAGATACTGAATTAATATGGATCAGTTTTGTGGACAATAATTATCTTAGAAAAATGAGGCGAAACACAAAGCTCAAGACAAATTTGTATTTAAAAAGTATTTATCATCAGATCAATAACGTGTATGATAAAAAAAATCTGCTTGAGCTGTTGTACATGAAATAACGTATACGTTATCTTACAACGTTTAACCCATTACTTCATGAGCATTTTGTGAAAAATGGCTGTTTTCATTGAAAAGTCTCCTGTTACAAGTTCAAATTGCTATAATACTATAAAAGCTGCTTCAACGCTAATCAAACTTGGCACAAATGTTGACTGGACCATTGCCCTTGCAACAACATGCTCAGGCTTAAATTTTCTGTTACCATGGCAACGAGGGGACATCTCAAAATTGCCAAAAATCACTATTTTGCGTTGATTTTTTCCATCAAAATTGATTTCAAAGTGCTGCAACTTCTCAATGGATTGAGATAGAGTCAAATGCTTTTCAGCGTTGGTTACACGTTACCTTATGATCAATCTGGGGTCATTTATAGCCTCTCACAAGTCCAAAATTTTCTTGGCGATGAGGGGGACTCCGCCCCCTTCAAACCCCCCAAACAGAAGGGGGCACATCCCCCTTCTGGCAACCCCCTGATGTATCTTTTGGTTGGGGGCCGCGCCGAAAAAGAGGTCACTTTTTTTAACAACATTTCTCAAACAAAAACAAGTGTTGGGGGCCTAAATAAGGCATTTTTTCACCATTTTGAGACAACATAAAGGGGGGGGGGAGGCGTAAAAAGGCGTTAAAAGGCGTGTATATAACGTAATAGGTTAATCAATTATAATTATTATTATTATTTTTTATTTATATTTTTTTTTTGGGGGGGGGGGAGTCGTTGATCAATTACAACAAATATACAAAAGTAAAACATGATTAGTAAATGTTCATATAATGATATATATATCATTATCTTTCCAAACGTGTACTACATCTATTTGGACGGATTATGTATATGAAAAGTATACAAACACGTCCGAGAAGTGAAATACTGTAAATTATAAACAGTCAAGCAGAAAAAAATGGAGTTTGGAAAACTAAAGTAAAAGAAGAAAGAGATTTGAAAACAAGATAAAACTTATTTAATGCTGTGTTCTCACCGCCGATCAGATCAACTCGATCAAGCACGATCAAGCGATCGTGTACCGGTCTAGCTCGGTCTGCATGCGTGATCAGGGTGGTCGGAGCGGTCTGCCTTGGTCGGCATGGTTCGGGCTTCCTACCCGAATTTTTTGACATGTCAAAAAAAATTCGAGTAGCGATCGAGAAGATAAGCGAAAGAGAAGCGATCGTATAGTGATCGAGTAGAAGATCTAGTTGATCGAGAGTAAATCGTGTAACGATCTAGTTTGATCGGGTATACATCTCTTACCCGATCTGTACACGATCATCTCGATTTCTACTCGAGCCTTATCCGATCTGGTCGGGTGCAAATCTGGCAACGATCGAGCAGAGGTCCAGTTAGTCTAGTTGAGATCGTGTATGACCCGGGTATAGGTCTGGGTGATCGAGAAGAAGTCGGGATGTTGGTCGGGTTGTCGTCGAGAAGAAGTCGTAACACATCGTGTAAAGGGTGGACTTGAGGTCGTGTAGGAGTCGCGAATGTGCATTTAATCCAGCTTGGTCGGGCTTCATCAGGGAATTAATGTAATCGGGACGATCGAGTTGATCTGATCGGCGATGAGAACATAGCATAAGCACATATGCAGAAAAAAAACTGCATGTACAAATAGATTTGTTTAGTAAGTACAAAATTATCAGTTAAATCGGAGCAATTATCATTGTGATATAAACATCAGGAATATCTCCCATTATATATTAATGGGCGATCAGAAAGAGAAGATTCATACTAGAACAAGATTTAAAAGGTGTATATAAATATGTCCTTACCTTAGCTGAAATTTTCTCCTCCTACCATACCGTAGTTGACTACGGAGCCGTTGTAGTTTTTCTTGATTTTTGATCTTTCCGCAAAACTACAAACAGAAATTATTAGATGGTATAATACGCACATGGTATAATACGTTCATGGTATAATACCCATATCGTATGATACACACATCGTATTATAATATGCACATCGTATAATACATCGTATAATATGTACATCGTATAATAAGCATATCATATAATACACACATCGTATAGGATGTATCCTTTCGATTTTTGTATTTTCTGATCGCAAGGTCAGTAAATACAAAGCTAACATCCACGGTCTAACACAAAATTTCCTTACAGACCTTACAACGTAAAGTAGTTCTCACTCAAAACTGCTTAAAAACTAGCAATTTAAAAGAAAGAATAATTTTTAATGTAGGCATTTAACTAATTACAGTGCATTAAAAGTTTAGATTAGTCAATAGAAATATGAGGTTACAATCACAAATTTCGCGGATGAATATCTTTTTTACCCAATGAAAAATGTTCGGCTATTTCCGTAAAGCTTCGGATTATCATGAATGCACTCGGATGAATATCATTTTAATCAATGAAAATGCTATTTTTAGCTATGTCGATCCAGAGAGTAGTACACAAATAAATCTGACTGTCGAGTAGTGGAATATATACATGTCGGACTGTTTTGGCGAGAAGATTTTCGCTAAATTATTTTCATCAGTGTAAACCAACAGGTTTTATCGTGAACAAAATACCTCGAAATTAATAAGGATTACAAACACGAAATGGAAATTCTCAATTTAGAATTACATAATGTATTCGTTTTTATTCAAGGTACATACGTATTACTTCACCGTGGTGCAGAGGTAGCGCGCTCGTTTAGGGTGTGAGAGGCCTATGGTTCAAATCCTAGTCGAGGCAATTTTATTTTTTTTGAAGTGTCTTTTTTAAGGAAGTAGCCACGATATGCAAGGATAAAGTGTGGCTGTCATAAAAAATGAAAAATGATTTTTTGATGCAACTCTAGTCATGCAAAATTCCATATGTATCAATCTCAAACTGTTATAGAAAAAAATCTAAACGCTGTCGCTGCGTAAGATGAATTATAGTATATAAAAATAAACTTATACAGGAAAATACATACAGATAGTCAGTATGATTTAGATTGCAAAGATCAGAAAATACCATAGAGCTGCAGCCCTTTGATTATAAATAATTTTTGTAGCTGGTTCCCGCTCTGATGAGTGGCAGCACGGTATAGAATAAATGAATACGAAAACAATATTTTCGCGCCAAATCAGACCCGCTGGCAGCCATTTTACAACGAAGGAATCGTAGACATAAAAAACACATATTTATATTGGTAAGTTACAGGCGCGGAGCAATAAAACATAAGTACCTGGCTGACCAGATTAGCTGTACAATATTCTTACGTTAAACATTCAGGAAATTACCTTGTATTGACGTATATAAACGTATGTGCATCTGAACCCACGTGTATTTCGACATATCAGGTCTACTTATATTTTAAGTTGTACTATAAACATAATAAGATTTCGTGTATTAGTAAGGTAATTGACAGTTTACTAACATAATGCCCGTATTAATGTTAATATCTTTCAAATTATTATATATTCATTGCGTTATGTCATTGAATTGTGTACATGGCACTTTTAAAAGACAATAACCTGATCGTGAGGACGGAGAAACACAATGTTAACAAGGATTTCGAGTACATTAGTTATTGCATGTAAGAATAATAAACTTATCAAAACATTTTAAACAGAGGACAAAAGAGAACTGTTTACCTCTAATGCACACATGGCTTCTTTCACAGTGATCATACATTGGTCATCATCCTCATCTTCGTCATAATCGGGGAACAAATCATATACTTCTATCTCCTCCTCTGTAAAAAACAAAACAAATTTATAATAAAACAACAGACACAGCTTTAATTTTAATGGGTAATATTTCATACAATGTTATTTAGTTTCCAACATGTTGCTAGGTATGCAGACTGTATTATCTGTATTATTCACTTACATTGACAGATGATATGGATCAGTATATGAAACAAGAATTTATTTACGGCCATATAACATGTTTTAAGTCTTTACTGCACACTTGATTGCTATCTATGTTTTCAGTGAAACATAAAAATGACATTTTAGCAGTCGTTTAAATAAATAGTATAAACGTAAAGTGTTCGATTGGCGTAGTTCACTCGTGTAGTATTCTATCAGCATTATAAAAAAATATAATTTGCCTGAAAGAGCACAATCAATAGATAAAAATAAAATGATAGATTTAACAGGGGGTGGAACCCCATATGGATCTCAAAATTGAGCGTCAGAAAATGTATATGTGAATTTTCGCTGATCCAGATGTGCACTATAACATCATATGTAAAAGAGAAAATAGGTCATTCACAGTGTAAGTTGTCAACTTTTAAAACATTTATGTAAAATTCAAAGTTTTTTCAACACCCATGGCTTTACATAAACCCATTTTTGTTTTGGATTTTATGCAGTCTTTGAACAGCGAAATATTCTTTCTGTCGTGGCTTCTGATGTTTCTTAAGCATGCAATGTGTATATGAAGAAAATGGGCTAAAAATACAAGCTTTTAACGAAATCTTACCACCGAACGCTTAACATTCAAACGAAGCCTTATTGAAAATGTATTGATATTTATTTTTTACCGATGCTCAATTTTTGACACTCCCGTTTTTGATATACATGTACTAAATTACACATATGTATATGTGAACGCACCTTCCATGAACTCACACATTCGTTTCAAGTTTTTCGTAAGAACATCTGTGGTAACGTCACGTTTTGAAGGCGGTTGACTGTAGAATACGTTGATGTTATGTACTGCGTGTAATGCTTTGGCGAGACCCTTGAAATCTTCACCTACATCAATTCCCTTTAGAAAAAATTACATTGATGCATTTGTATTAATTAGTATATGTTTTATTTATTTTACCAAAAAGTGCATTTTCAACTGACTCAATATATTATGACATACAATATCTTAATATGTCCTGTATGTATTTTCACCTGCAGACAGGGAGGCTGTGGTTGGGCAATTTAGTTTTCAGAAAAATACATGAAGTTTGTATCTGCTAACATAAAGTAACACCAAAGAAATTTTGACGGAATAAAATGATAAAAAAATTCAATATACCACGCTTATTTTGTTATAAGTACATGTTATTGAAAAATAAACGATGAATAGTCTTATATGATTTGTATAATATAAATATATTTAATTAAACTGGAACTAAACTTTAATATTTTATCTGCTTGTTTAGCAAGGTAATAAATAAATGTACTGATTAACCCTTCTATTTAATTGACAGGTCTGTATATTCCTATATTAAAACAACACTTTGTATGAACGGGTGTTATATTTGCAATTTCTGCAAAGATCTTGTAAACAATGTTACCCATCGACTTTACACATGGTTCATCCCATTCCAATCACAAGCTGTGTATGTTGATTAAAATTGTTAATTCTATATTTAACAATTCATATGATAATAATTGTATCAACACACCCTAACAATCTACTTATTTTTTTTACCTCAAAATTAATTTCTGTAAACGAGTTTGGATTGGCCATTACAGTGGTCAGAAGATCTGTGGCGGGTTTCGAGGTTAGGATATTGTTTGCCATCTGAAAAAGATAATTAATACATTCCCTTAACATATTTCATTTTGTAAATTTCTCTATAGCATCTTGGAACGTTTTTATATTGCTATTTATGCTACAATGTTCGCAATTTATTTTGCAAAATGTTTATGTCTACGTTATGTCTATTTTTCTCCAGCATAATCGTAATTATATTTCTCCAGCATAACCATAATATACTATTTCACTGCTAGTTCTTTGTCTTGTTTTAGAAATCATTCATTATTTCTTGTTGACCCAATGAAGATATAAGTCAACTGACAGTAATTAGGATAGTCTTTTAAGTTTGAAATTTATATTCAAATATATGCAAACAATCTGATATTTCACTATACCATTGCGGTCATTATGCATTTATCTTATCATGCTCTAATTGTAATAGCTGCACTTGGTTGATAGTCATAAAAAAAAATAGAAAGCGTGCGTATTTACTATGTAAATTATAATGTTATTAAATATTTATGACCTATTTATAAAACACAAGGTTAAATTTAATTTATATTTCCAATTCACAGTAAATATATAAAAGCGGTCTTTTATTCTAAGCTGTGCAATTGAGACAATAAAGTACATTGTAAGTATAAAACTAACACATTCTTAGTAACCAACATTGTACTTTATATTGGTCAATCCCGTCAAGATTCAAAATTATCTGCAAGCTCACCGAAAAGTTCATACACATATAATCTCAGAAATTATTAATGATTAACCTTAGGCGACAAGTATGCTTCACTCTTAAGTAAAATATGAAATTAATAGTGCAAGAAACTCTGCGTATGAACCAAGTAGAGATCTATACACATGTTCACAGAAACTTTTATGGTAGACTTTAGTTATCATGCACATGTTGTATTTACAGGTACATAACTAAATATTTATCACATTTGTAGCATGACCTAGTGCCTTACGTTCGCGAAGTAACTCGTTCTTCATGAAACAAATGCTAAGTACTAATGCATTGATAATTCTGTAAAATATGGACGCTTTGTGTGTCTGCTTTTATTTAGTTGAGATTAAAGTTGTCACACAAATAGTAAGGTTAAGTTCGCAAAGTTCACATAACAAACAATCTAGAAGTCTTACATTTATAACTGAAAGGTTGGGCAGTTCATCTAACGATCGTGTAAGGTAAGTTAGGACAGAATCCGTTATTCTATTACTTGAAAGATCAATTTCTTTGATGACACTATTCTCCGTCAAGGCTGTCACGAGCGCTTTTCCACCTTCCTCCCCGAAACCGTTCATAGATGCCAGAAAAATCTCAAGTTCTGTGTTTTTCTTGAAAAAAAAAGAAAGAATGAAATTTGACGAAAGTCATGCACTCAGGTACAAAGATCGATGTCGAAATTTTATTTGGATTATTGTCTATGGCTTTCTTGAAGTCTTCGTCTATAAATTTATTTACACATTTGTGTGTAAACATGACAAGAGAAAATCAATATACACGTACATATATAACTGCATATTTCATGTATCAAATTGGAAAATTCAAAATTAATTTCTTATTATAATGATATGTTCGTTGTCAGTTTGACTTATCTAACATTATTTCTAAAATTATATCAGAATTATTGTTGTACAAACATTACCTTTAAAGCAGAGCATAAGTTTAGAGCACCATTCAGTCTTATGTTATTCCATCCAACTTCTAGTAATTTCAGGGAGACATTATTTACTAAAACATAAAATAAAACTATTGGTAAAAAAGAGCAAAGATAAAACTACTCGTACATGAACAATCATGGAAAAAAGAGCAAGGGAAAATACATATTCAATCATGTTTTCCAATCAGTAATGAGAGAAACATGTTTGGTAAACAGATAGCTTCTATTTCACACAAACAAAGCTATTTATGAATCTATGTAATGTCCAAAAACACATAGCTTAGAAATTAAATTAATTGCACACAAGCGTATTTTCAATTCAGTTTCAGTTTTATAAAGCCAAGCATAATTATGCAACTGTTATAAAAAATTTGAACTGAAAAGAAAAATTCTTTTCAACCATGTATCTATGTACTTCACTCATTTACTTTATAATGGACACTTTTGAGCCTTAGAGGAGAAAAAAAGAAACGAAATGGAATAGAAACATTACACGGAAAGTAATTCAAGACAAAATTACCCAAAGCTTTGCTGATTAGCGTGGCACCATCATCACCGATATCGTTAGCCGCTAGTATAAGCTCCTTCAATGTCACATTGTCCTGAAAATAATAATATACACGTCATTAGATACGAGGAATGATCCAAAATTACTCGGAATTTGTTTATTAGTCTGAAATTTTGCATGTAATATTCATAAAATGTATGCCTATGTAAATGTCAATGTTTCATCTACATCTATTTAATAATAAAATATCATCAATTTAATTTTTTCCAGTACCGTTTCAGTCCGCCTTGAATAATCGTAGTAACCCCACAGACTACTACAGTTAATTTAGTTCATTTTCTTATTTTTGGAGGGGGGGGGGGGGTGGTGTATAACATTTTATTTTTATCAAATTGAATAAATGATATTAAAAAGTCCATGCCTTCAACTATAAGATGCGTATGTATTTTATTTCATTTTTTTCGATTTTTTTTTTTCGACATTTAAACAGTAGTTCAAGGGTCACTTGTTCAGTTGCGAGTGCACTTCGGAGAGTGCTATCTAACAAAAGGACTATTCGTAGTATGAAATAACAATTATTCATCCAATGGGTGCATAGCAAACAACCTTGTATTGCGCACTGAAAACCTTATAGTGTGTTTTTGACGTACGTTTAGACTGCGCTGTATGAGTATATTACTTTGTTTGCTAAGATATGCATGTGTTGAACATAATGTGTTTAAATGTTATAATTTTTGTGTTCATATAACGCTTTAATATAGTGTTTGTTAACGCTTTAATATAGTGTTTGTAATATGAACTTTTGAAAAGCAATGAATCTATGGCTTAAATAATTCCGGATAATTCCGGATCGTCCGTCATACGTACATCTACGTAATTCTCCACAATATTGACACAATAAATGACGCCTGACAAGTGCGAATTTTCTTGGAAAAAGAGGTAGATTATACGTCACTGTCACAAAAAGATCACATCACTGTTAATTAACACAACTTTGACGTTAAGCTGACCAGTTCTTTAACACGATTTAAATACAATGACGACAGATGGTGTGAATTTTGTCATAGCGTAAATTGATATCAGGGAGGGGAAAAAAAGAATAGCTGATTAAGTTGTTTAAGTTGTATGATTGAAACATAACAAAAACGCTGTGCAGCCAAATATTCTATTAAATGAAGCGCTTGCGTGTTGTAACGTTGTCTTTCTTAGCATGGGGTTTAAATGTTATCAGGTATGCTGATGTCTGAATCTAATGTATTCTAAATGAGGTTTCCATCTTATAAGGTATGCTCATTTTGTACAAATGAGATAGATTTCTGACTGACTTACTAGTAATGAACAATCATACGTGAAATGATGCTAAAGATCGGCAGCTGAGTTTGCAAGTAGGACTACAGACAAAACAGAAGGAAATGAATCATTTAGATTTTGTGTACATTGTCATATTATTGCAGGCCTCTTGTTTAAATGGGCAGTAATAGGCCGAATACCTTCGTGTTAAATTACATATCACCTTATAAACTTTTCAGTATTATTATTTATGATATAAACTGTAAGAAAAGATATATGTATTTCCAAATTGAAATTCTCAAAGAAAAAAAAGAGAGAAATATATTTCAAACCATATTTAGTAGAAAAACAATTTCCTTTACCTTAGCTAAAGGAATAGTTGGAACTTTCCTAGAATAAATTTAGTTGCATGCCTTAAGATAACCTAATATATTTCTTGAGAAAACAAGAATAAGATTTTAAGACAAGTAAAAATATTCAAGATTCAAGTAATAACTTACATGTTATGGGCGATTAATGACTGATTTTTTTTCAGAATTTATTATCATATTTCTACTGCATGACTAACGCAGTAAGGGCTATTTGTGTAAATTTTGACTTCTTTATTTTGGAAATTGGATTGTTATTGTTGTTTTCAATATGTAAATTATTTTCTTTGTTCACTTCATAATATTTTAATTTTAAATACATTTTCAAAATTTTTATGAAATTAAGCATGAATCTGGAGGTATACTGCTTTAACTTTGACTTCGTTGAGTATAGTTCTACACGGTATGTTCTTTCAGATGCACATTTATATAATTACGAAGGCTTATTTTCTGAGCATTTTAACGATAATAAGGTGAAGTAGTAAACCAGCAAGATCTATTACCTTTCTAATACGCTATGGTGATGAAAAAGAAGCTATACGTAAAATGTTGATGCTAAAATGATATCTTAATAAGAATTTCAAATTTTGAAAAAAAATCAATACATTGATTTATAAATATCCCAACCTTGTTCATTATACAAATTATAGACGACTGAGGAAATGCCAATATCCGGTAGTACGGGACAGAAGATTTAACATGCGATGTCTATTGTATGTGGGAGAGAAAAAGGATTCACTCTTCCGGCTAGGAAAAAATCAACAATAGTGTGAGAATCTGTAATAAAGCAACATATATGAGTAGTTGAAACATTTACTATACCTCGATGATTCCAGCGATGTATTTTGCACCTTTATCGCCTATGTTATTTTCTGAAAGTAAACAAAAGTAAAACCTGCAGATAGATATGTTATCGGCCAGATCACATGGGACTTTAAAAAATAAAAAAAATTGTCTTGCATACTTTTTTATGATATATAGATATAATAAATATATAATAATTTATATGTTTCGTCTTTCTCCTCATATTCAGTCTGTTAATCATTCAGACTGTCAATTTTCACAAAATATGCATTGATTATACATATTTATGAAATGTTGTATTATTTGTCTTTACGAACTCAAAATTTGTTATATTAATTGTATGTGAAATCAGAAAATAAAGTTACAAGTTTTTAAAAAAAGTTTCACAAAAGATTTGTAAATATGATATCAAAGTACCTGAAATATCTAGTTTCAGAAGAAAACAGTTTCCTGATAATGACGAGCGAAGGTATTTTGCACCTTGTGGTCCAATATTGTTACATCCCAGGTACTGTAAAATATGATTATAGTATGTTTCAACATAGTAAGAATGTCTGTATAAAGTAATTTATAAAAGCAAGTCAAAAAGGTGATGTTTATATCTTAAAGGCTTTGCCCATTTTTCAATTTAAACAAAGGTATTCTTCATTTTTAGGGAAATTTCAAAATATGTACTGACTGACCATGTTCAGACGGTACGGATGGCATCAGCAGTTCAGAATTTTAATTGAGTTCTTTACATATAATTTATTCTTTAAAATATAATAAAGTATACAGTGTCAGACAAGACTTCTCATTTTATATATTAACAATTTATGTTTTCCATTACAGGGTAAATAAACTGAATGGTCATAGTAACCCTTTCACCAAATGACAATGGTTCAAATCCAGCCCGGATGTATAATTCTTTTGTATGAGTTTTGTTCGTTTCTCGTTCATGCTATTGATTAATTATAGACTATGACGTAACACTGTAGTCTGAGTCTGATCATTCATCTTTTTCTTTCCTTTTATTCATGAACATGATTTTGTACAAGTAATGGTAATTGTGTGGTAATATAGATAAAAAAATACGTTATTCCGTATTATTGTCTGATTTTTTCCCTTTCAATATTCAAGTTTCATTCTTACAAAATAAATAATCATAAATACCATTTCTGTAAGATGTTTATTTTCATGGAGAACCTCTTTAAAATACTTCATCCCGTGAGGCCCTATATAGTTATCTTCAAGATCAAGCGTGTTAAATGTCAGGTGATTCTAAAAGAAAACAAGTCTCAAACTGTAGCAACACAATTAGACAATTATCTATAAGTCACGTTTTCAGTTCACGGAAATCACACACTTGATTTTTCTCACTTTAATTTCGCATCGTAAGCAGGCATTTATAGTCAAGCTAGCAAAAATGTAGTTACTAATGGAACCCCAGTTTTTATTTGTTTGGGTCGTCAGACCAAACAAATAATGGTAGCGAAATTTCAGACTCTAATGCTGTTAATTGCAAATGCCGAAAGTAGTCCGCTTTTTTGAAGCGGTTACTTCCCTTTATATGTAACACTAAGGTCGAAAAAGTCAGGGGAGATCACTGCGTAAATATAGTCACAGCATTAATTTTCAAGCAAAATAATTTCCGAATGGTCAAAGATTTCTAATATTGTTTTATTCTTTATAGATCTACATGCTTATAGTAAGCGCAATGATTATTTACACAAGTGTTAAACAACAGATAGCGTCGTTACAAAACCTAATTTAGAATAATATGGTTTTCTTCAGACCGTAAATACATAAATTCACCGTGGCCGAGGGGCTTGCACGTCCGCTTAGGAAGCGAGAGGTCTGGAGTTCAAATCCCACTTAAAGCAACTCATGTTTTTTTCAAACTGTTTAATTCAAATAAACATTGGATTGAATATCAGTGTTACAATTAGTCTTATAGCATCTACTACAATTAAAACACTGGAAAGCATTGGTGGCACTATACAAAAACAAATTGTTTTATAATCTCACAACCTTCAACTTTCTGACATTCTGAGACCCAAACAAATTCAGCACCTTCTTTGCTTTGATTCACTAAAGGTAGGCATACACACGTAAACAATTTAACATACTTGATATTGACAAATAAATAGCACTCATTTATATTTTATTTCATGACGTTTTTATGTGATACCATCAACATGAGTAAAAATCACTTTCAGAGCAAATATTTTAAAGATAATATAGTGATCCATTTTTCCCTCCATTAATTTGTCTAAGTTTTGATTAACAGATTAAGAAAATTCTCCGCACTAGTTTAACTTTCTAAAAATAGCGCTGGTATATAAGAGATAACATGACTTTAAAATAATATAAGGAGGAATACTACCTTGATAAAGTTAGAAATTGTTATTGAATCTCCTTTACTGAGGTATCTATGTTTCATGTACATGTCATCATCAAGACAATGCCGGAGGAAATATGTATTCACATTACTTCGAAATTTACGACAATCATGCTTGTATTCCGGAAATTGACCGTCATTCAAAACCTCTCGTGATTTCTCGTCCGCTATGAGATCGAAACCTGTAATTTGAAAAAAAAGTCTTTGTATTATATGTACTTAAGTTTGATGTCCCTGGAAATCATATACATATCTTAAACTTCCAGTTAACCGCATTTTTTAGACCAGTTGATTGGTCATTTTATAAATGCATTGAATATTATCGTCATTCTGAAAATAGTCTGTTCAATGCAGGGGTGCTTAGCAGAGGTTCCAAAGGGTTGTTTTTTGTTTTGTTTGTTTGTTTCATTTTACGCCTTTTCCCAACAGTATTTCAGTCATATAGGCGGATAGTTTCTAACCATCGTTCCTGGAGAGTTACACCAGTACTAGACTACCTTCCTCCGTGCTAAACTACCAAAGCATCTCCCGGGGATCGAACTCACGCCATCCAAAGGGTTGTAACCCCTCGGTTCTTGCATGATTTAATGAGGGCCAGCTTTGCTCTCACATACCTCCCGGTACCCCCATCCCCATATGGAGCGGGTAAAACTTTCATCGCAAATTCATTTTGCAGTGTTAATTTCCATTACATTATTAAAGTAAGAAATGCGTGTTATTTCACAACGACAAGTATAGATAAATATATGAAATCATAACATACCAAGTTGTTTATCTAAATCTGTATCATAACCATCATCATCACTGTCGGATTTCTCCTCCCACCATTGTTTCACTTCATTGAAATATTTCTGCATCTGTTGTTTAAATTTCCCGCCACTCAGACATTTTTCCTTTGATTCATTGTAACATTCGCTGCTAATACGCGGTGGTTCCCATCTATTAATTCCTTTAGCAGAACCCTTTATTGACATTCGTCTATACGTAGCACTGTTTGCCTTTTTTAAAGGACTTATCTTAGAGTAACAGAGATCAGTAAGAGATTTAGCATCCGCCAAACTGGTCCTTCTCTTTTGTACTACAGGAACTGTATGATCACGTACGGTTAAATAATAACCCTCGTCAGATGTTCGTTTTGAACTTTCTGAACTGTTATCGTCATTACGTTTACTGGATATAGAGTATTGTTTTGAGCGACGATTACCACTTTTGCGGTGACTGCTTCCAAGTCTAAACGAACCGTCACTGGACGCCGAATTCCGGAAACGTTTTTTCTCTATTGTACTACTTGTAATAGACCCTGTGTCAACGGCTCCAATTTTTGAATGTCCTCGGAAAGAAGACATGTAGTCGCTCCCCGGGGCGTCATACCCGGTGTCAATTCTTGGTAACTGAGGTACTGCACCGTAGCTAGCCATACTGAAAACGAAGTAAATATTATTTTGTGTGTGTGTGTGGACAAACGTATATGACATTACATTAACATCTTCACTCTATGAACAGAAAACATTACTTTGAAGTTATTACCGTCGTTTTTTAGTTAAACACACAAACTTGGCATAGAAAGTTCGATTTTTTTGTTGTAGCGTCTATAGATATAATTCATGTATGTCACGGAAATGAAATTACGTTGTATTATCCTTATCAAATTTTCTTATTTTTGGTTCACCTTTTAACAATTTCTTTCGTGTTATTTACTCAAATTATATCGCAAACAATATAGAGGATATTCAAGTTTCTTCTATAAATACAGGATTTATTTTCACCGAGTGATATGAAAATTCATATTTTACGAGTGGGAGTAGCCACGAGTGATATATGATAAGATGAAAATAAATCCTGTATTAATAGAAAAAAAAACACTTGAAATTACTGTTAATTATATATTTTTTCTCTTTTTAAACCTTATGAATTGAGAGAATTCCCTTAAAATTGTGTGTATTGGCTGAATTTAGAAAAAAGTAGTCCGGCAAAACACCAGTGAGACGGAAAATATGTTTCACTGCAGTGAAAAATATTTTTTTAGAGTGAAAATACGGAAAATAAAACAACGCATTTTATTTCATCAATATTTCTCAATATTTCATTTATAAGTATATAATAAATACTCATATTACATCGTAAAATCAGCTTACAGATAAGTTACAAGATTTACTATTTGTTTGTTGATTTTTACCATATATGATCCTTTAGAATTCATTACAGTCTAGAATTTTGAACACCTGTCTCAAAGACACTTCATTTATTTTTATAAAACAACCTAAAGTTGTTAAATGTGCCTTTATTACAGCAGTAAATTTAATGGAAGTATTTACTTTTGCTCTACAAACATGTTTATAGGTTCTTGAGAGCATAGCTATAAATCTTATCTTTTTTCAATTAACTGCCTACATTTATACAGCATTTTCAAGGAATGTTAAAAAAAATCCGTATGTTTAAAATAACCTTTATCACAAACCCGTGCCACTTTTGCGACTCTGTAAAAATGGTATGGCACGGCCGTGCTTATATTTTGACGTGACGTCACTAGCGTTATACAAACATAGCGTAAAAACGCTATAATGTTGGCGTTACGCGCGTCAATGAAAAGAAAATGATTGTTTTAATTGAAAAATGATTCTCATTTAGGTACTGTATGTAAAAATAGAATATTATATTCGTGAATTTATTTTTAGTTGAATAAAAAGAATATGCGTATAATTTTATTTAACTCTTTCAATAAATTCAATATTTAACATACACTCATTCAACATTCAATATTTTTATTATGCACAATAATTATATTCCCAGGAAATAGAGAAAATATAATTCATTGTATTGTTTAATTAATCAGAAAGAAAAACGAAATTATCATAACAAATGTACAGTTTCATACGTACGAACAAAGTATTCAAATAGACTAAAAAAAAACTTATAAAATTATTTTGTTTTTTGTTTTTATGAGATCAAGCTTGTTAATAATCACTAACCTTAACTGTTATAGATAGTTTCCGTTATTTTCCATCGCAAGTATCGTCTCTAACTTTAAACATTCAATATACATATATTCTACAAATATTTAGAATTGCATATTAAATCAGATCGATTGGTTTACTACAAATATAACACATGTTTATGAGAAAAGGGTACCGATTAAGTAAATCTTTCAGAGATTAAAGCGTGTATGAAACGTGCTGTATAAAACGCTGTATAAGTTATAATATTTAGATTTTTATACGTGCATATCCCAGAGTTATATGGCCATGTATAAACGATTGTGAGCTTATATTATGCGCGACTGTTTATATACGACCATATAACCTGTAAAAGTCTATATATATAACGAAACGATGATTTAAAAGATGATTTAAAAATTCGCAGCGCTGGTGTAAATGTAAATAGACATAATAAATGTATAAAAGTTGCGATTTTTTAATAAAATCGAAGTTACACGCTACAGTATTATAACTACATGTATACTGTTTTATGAAACTGACTTTATAATAATTTATTAAGACAATATGACGAGCAATTGTTTTATTATAGTGAAAAGCAGCAACAAATCATAATGATCCATGTTTCAGACGGCTCTATTTATATTATAGTATTATTATACGTTGCATCTAGTTTTAGCTTTTGCAGACAAAATTGTTGGAATTGTTTAATATGATAATAGAATATATTGCAAAAAACGAATACATATTGCACTTAAAACTTAATTTATTCGACTGCATGAATATTTAAAACCAATCATACAATGGTCCAATAGTGTATATATACGTACACCGGTGCAGATATACCAGACAACAATTTTCACCCGAAATCACTGTTAGATGATGGTCAAATCAAGCACTATATTTATGTATTTAGGGGTGCAAATTTCGGGTGCACGCGGACAGTTTCCGAAATTAAACATGTTTATTGCTATTGGCAATAGAAATGTTTTTATCGAAATAACTTATATATTCTAATTCTTCCATTCTCACATTATACTATAAAGTCGATTTATGTGGGAAATAGTAAGATTATGCTTTAAAATTATTTCGGTACACATGTGTCAAAATATTATGCGATATCTGTACGGATTATAGTAATTCTCTATATTATAAAGCTTATTACAGATTTTTCATAGTGAAAATAATTTGCCTGTGGTTAATAATAAAAGTGTCCCTAAATATTTTCAACTAGTATTTATACATATAATCCAAGGTAAAAGCTTTTAAATCAATGCTAATTCCCTCATGGACATTCGTGTCTGTAATTTTAATTCCGAAGGTCGCATGGTAAATAAATAAGACCTGTTCGCGTGTTTAACATTTGAAACATTTTTAGAAAATTGGTTTTTATGTAGCTTTACAACAAAACAGATAATAACACTTCAATCAATCTTAATTTATCAATGCGAAAGGACAAAATCTCGACGTAAGTATCTTGAAAAAAATCTCTATTATAATTTTTCAACTAAAAAAATATCAAAGAAATATGGTGGCTAATTTGCCACGTCGTTTTAATCTTTTTTCTTTCTTTTTTTCTACCGAAAAATGTGAAAACGTGCAGGGACTATAAACGACACAATTAGCAAAAATACAACACTCAAAATATCACTGGGTTTCGCCTCTTATTTGTCGTATCTTCGTATTTTCGCATATTTGTTATTTTCTGTATTTTCCGCTTTTTCGCATCGTCGCGGGTAAGTTAAGAAGAGTTGAAACTTTGCCTTTTTAATGTACTGGGTTGTCGTGCAGTGATTTTTATAGGCAAAAACCGCAGGAAAACAATAAGAATAATGAAAAAGATAGTATCATGATCGCTTTAAGCACGTGTTAAATTGGCAGGCATTCGCTCGTGCAACAGGGACGCGGAAATGCTACAATACATTAATGCAAAAATGTAGACATGTCAATGCAATGTGAAACACGTATTTTTGCTCTTCATTTGTCGTCCATTGAAATCCGGAAATGCGAATCCGGAAAATCTGAAAGCTGAAAGGGATGACTTTGTAGTGTGTCCTCGATTTCATATTCTCGAATTTCGTGGCAAAAATAAATAAATAAATAAAATGAAAAGAACAAAAGACATTATGTAAATGTATCACCTAAGAGAACAGATTTATTGCGTGTATGGTTATTGGATTTCCGAGCAGTGTGACAAATCCTTGAAATCTTCCTCCTATACTAGCAACTAAAATCCCACTTTTTTCATACATCAAGAGCTGCTGTCTACAAATAAGAAAAAGAAAACAAAGACCCCCCCACACACACACACTTTCTCTCAAATTCCCTGAAAAAAATCATTGTCTTTTCTTACGAAACCAACAAATCTTTTGGATTTAGGAATGAGGCAGAAAGACAGACGCATCGTGTATATTGATTAAAGAAAAAATATTACAAAGCTTTACATAATATGAATGTAGTTTTGTCGTGATAGTTACTTATAAATTATAGGAAATGAGGTGGTTAAAATGCGGTGAAGGAGATTCAAGCATATGTATATTATCTGAGAAGAGTGGTGGCAAATTGGTTAAGGTTTCTCCTACACTCAACACATGTTTGGTGGTGTGTCCGAACCCTGATTCGCAGATTTGTCGCCGGACTGCTTTGTTCCAGGAAGCGTTTTCTTAAATAAGGAACAATCCATCTTGAAAATCAGTTAAAACTTAAATGTTTAATCACAGAATATAATATATCAAATGAAGATACTTTGTTTACACGGCGATGATTTGTTTTTGTTGTTGTCTATCTATTTTGTTTGTTTGTATTATAATTATTATTATTATTATTATTATTATTATTATTATTATTATTATTATTATTATTATTATTATAATTTTTAGTACAACTGATATTTTCATAGCCTTATTTGTTAGTGTGTATATTGGAGAACATGAATTTGGGCATGCGTGTTTGCATATGTGTATGTCCATCCGTACATATGAATATATTATAGTTAAATGACATAAAAACAAAAATAAAATAAAGTTGGAATTCAGTCACCGAATGGTACGATCGCATCCTTTCATTCATTCAATCATTTCTATAAAAAACATTAACATATCGAAATCACCGATGATAAACACCTAGAATTATTCCTAAGGGAGTAAGTGAAATGATTTTCATTACTGTAAAAATGTCAGTTTCATTACGTAAAGAACATGTCCAGCATATTTCATTTAAGAGATATTAATCAATATAATTGAGCCGCGTCACGACAAAACCAACATAATGGGTTTGCGACCAGCATGGATCCAGACCAGCCTGCGTATCCGCGCAGTCTGATCAGGATCCATGCTGTTAGCTATCAGTTTCTCTACTTGTAATAGGGATGGTAAGCGAACAGCAAGGATCCTGATCAGACTGCGCGGATGCGCAGGCTGGTCTGGATCCATGCTGGTTGCAAACACACTATGTTGGTTTTGTCGTGACACGGCTCAATTATTTCATTTGTACCAAAGTACAGAATTCTCTATCCGTTTCTAATCTCAAATGACAATCACTGCAACGAGCAAACTGTTTCACATTCAGTGCCATATTGTATTCATGTAGCCATGGCAACGAGAGCTCATCTACTAAACACAACAAGTTGCATCAGATAAGATGTGTTCGAACAAATAAAGCGTTATAATTTTTTAAATGGATAAACAATAGTAAATTTACATAGACAACCACTACTGGGATGGACTTTGGAATTAATAATAAATCGGTGAGTATATTTCACATAATGTTGCGGAGTTGTATTGCGAATGATATTCCCTATTGTTTACACCCGCTTTATTCGGAAAGTGAAGCAATTTGATATCTTCTTATAACAGTTAGCAATGACAAAAATGAAGTAGTCATAAGATTGCGCTGATTCAGATTTATTACCACAGATATTATAGGGATTAAACGAGTCATAATTATCTTATAATACATATCGTTCTCTATTTCTTATTGCATTAGAGTTGTTTAAAGATGTTGGATTGACCGGTGCTCACTTGAACAGATCCAGTTAAGGCATTTTGTTAAATCTTAAAGGGACTCCACTGAGGTTTAAAAGTTTAAAAACATAACATTTGAATTTCTAACATAAATGAGCTGGGGCACTTTAAACAGAAATATATGCAAATATATTTAAGAAATATACTTTGAAATAAATTGAAAATCGTATTTTCATGCTTTTCTTAGCCCGATTTGTGTAAAAAGTGTTTTTAACGCTTTTCCTTTTAGGTCATTTTTTCACAATTTGAATAATTATTCTAGTAAAACGAAGTGCGCGAATAATCTGAAATTTTGCACAAAGATTAGTGGTCTAAACCTACATCAAATGGTACATTTATCTGGAAAAATATTTTCAGTCCCATCATGTCAAAAAACCTCAGTGGAGTCCCTTTAAGGGGAGAAAGAAACTTCTCGGCCTGTGTTTCCCTTTTGTCTTTATCTTAATCATTTCCGATGGGCTTAATTATTTTTAGTTAGTTATGAAGCAGCTGAATCTTAGTCATTTTCTTTCACTCAATTTTGTGATAGTTTTGTGATAGTTTTCCTAGCATAAATAATAAAGTTGTAAAGAAATCAGAAAAACAACAACAATATTCAACATGCATTACACATAATATGTAGATCTGAAAAGTGAAATTTTGACAGTCGGGTTGCTTGTTAATTTGTTATACATGTACATGATTCTGTATACTTGTACATCATATAAAAGAAATAGATAAGAAATAAATTAAAGCATTCTATTAGGTTTTAATCAATTATTTCAATTATTTTACGTTACCCAGTTATATTGACCCCATATTATTTATTTTTTTATTTTTTTTATATAAAATGGATGCTGTGCTAAACGTATTAAAACAAAAAACAAAACATTTATACAAACTATACTTCTTCATGACACCGTACTGTTAGTTGAATTCACTTGACAAAACATCCATTAAATGTAATATGCAGTATCTTTCTCAACAAAATTATATAAAGTGTGTGCAAATGTCCGTGCCTTATCGCTTCAAAGTTCCATATTCTTTAAAAAGGAAAACTTAATGGACATTTTGTTAAAGTACTCAAACGAATTTCATTAAAGTTACATTGTAATTCGTTACGTTCATCTGTTATAACCTTTTATTGTGAGATTTCTTTAGTCCAAAAACAAAGGACAATTTTGACTCATACACGGCTTAATGTTGTGTATAGGTTAAATAATAGTCCCATGCATGTATCTTTACTCTGGTGACGTTATTGGCATTTAACAACATTAAATATCAAATATATTCCATTAATAATACAATAAAGATGTTTATGAAATAAATGAGATAGTCACAAGTCTCCGACAGGTGGCGCTGACTGATTATCATGTTTGATCAGGCATTGTTATAACCATACAATCATGTCGGTCATTATTCTTTATACACATGTCTGGTCAACATTTTCTAGGTGAATGTACAAGAAACAATAATGCAATAATGATATACTTTAAGCATGTAATGTAGCATTATCACTTGTTTAAACAAAATGAAATAAATCCCGAAGAATTTTGGTGCTTGGTATTTCGAGTTGATGATAGTTTATATGTAGAACTAAACCAACTTTTCCCTCTGTTGCCTTTTGGCATGGAGTACAGTTATAGTGGATTAGTATTTTAAATTGAAGTCATAATACTACTTTGTTTACATTTTTTAACTATTTCATATGCATCGCTATGTTCTTCACGACTATCAACATGCTCTAAAACCTGTGCAAGTATAGTTTGCCATTTTGAATAAAAAAAAAGGGAAATTAAGCACTGAAAAACACGCATCTGTTTATGGGAAGATAAAATACAACGATTCTTAAATACGTTTGTCACGCAATAAAACTGTGATGCGAAACAAGATCTTAATCTAGTAGTTTCTTGCGTGCATATGACTAGATCATCATTTTCAAACATTCGTGTTCATTAAAAAAATGTCTTTTAAAACCCTGCGAAAACAACAACACATATTAATGAATTGGGTTGATAAGCGCATGCTCTGTCAATATCATAATACAATGTTGTTAAAATCCGTGCCAAAACTGATAAAATAAGTAATTATTGTAGAATAACACGATGACACGCTGAGATGCTGACGTCATCGCATGAAGTCAATGAGAGGCTGCGAAAAATCTAATTCATTGACGTATCGGGGTATAAAACCTCATCAACGAAAGCCATTGTCATTTTTGTCAGCAGACCAGTGTGTAATAGAGAGCACATTGAAGCACACAACAGAGAGTGTGATTTATATTATGTCTAAATTACTAGCTTCTCATACAGTAAATGAATGATATAAATATTATTTTACGGGAAGATAAATAGTAAGCTGCTTGTCAACATAGGAAATAAATGGACTGTCATTTAACATATGAGTAATAAGGGAAGATTGTTAAAAATCGATTCGAATATGAAAAATTGGAGAAAGAAAATTCAAAACTTGTTTAGTTTCAAAAGGGATTCACAGGCAACTGGAGGTAAAATTATTTTATTTTTTTGTAAAAGGTAAATCAATATTTTCTTTAAAACTCTTTATTTTGCGTTTCTATTCGTGTCCGTCATAAGTAAGATAGTTTCAGTCGATTTTGATTTTGTAAATGATATAACTTTGATTGATTGATATAATTTTGCCGGAACTTTCATTTGCTGAATGCCTTCAATTCGCTGTATGTATGTATGTATGTATGTATAAAAATGTATATCAGAACCAGTAATGCGATTAGAATATAGATGAATATCAATACAAGAGTTAATGTGTATCTAAAATAGTATAATCTAATATAAAACATGTTTCTTTATATTGATTAGATCTCATTTAGCTTTCATAGGCATTTACACGATTATTTTTGTTTAATAAAAATGACATAAGCGTATACATATATAAAATACCCGGTTAAAGATTTTTTAAATATAAAGGATCTGTCGTGAGTGGTTATTTCATAAAGAAAAAAATTATGGCATGTGAAAAAACAAACGAATGTTTAACGCTCTGAAAAGAATAGTTTATTTAAATAGATTTGAAAGTTTTTTTTAATCATATTAATGCAAAACTGCATGATAATAAGAATCATATTAATTAACAAATAGGAGAAAAAAAGTTATAGTTATTTCAGCACTTGTATCTTCTTTCAAGATTATCTTAATTTATACCAAGATAATAATTCGATTGAACTCAGCATTTCGCGGGAGAAACGACAACAAAACACTGAGCATTCTTCGGTAAACAACCGTTGATTAGTGCGTAATTTGATACAAAGATAAGATTATTAGAAAACTATGTTTGGATATTAAATTTGCTATTTTTAAGATTAATGTTCGTAGTTTTCTTTATTAAAAGGCACATTTTGCTTTAGAAATGACTAAATTTTCTTTCTGTAGAAAGGGCAAATATTTTTTTTTATTATTTTGTAATACTTGGTTTTAGAACATGTGCTGTGCTTATCACTTGAAGGAAATAATGCTGAGTTTGAAATATTGGTGACAAAAGTTAAATATTTGTAACAAATTAGCAAAATGTAAACAATGTTATATTCTGATAAATATACAAGATGCTTTTAAATCATTATATCTGCATCATTTGCCAAAACGCAAGAGATGACTCGGCCAAATGGCTAATGTGTATCTTTTTCGAAACAGTAACAGGGTACAAAAATATAAAATGCTTTTAAAATATAAAGATGATAACAGTTGTTTAGGTACCGGTATAATGGTCTTTTAAGGATTTCATATGGCTAGACAAAATATTTTGTACTTCATGTACCTGATTGTTGAATTATGCAAATTATATAATTTCGGATCGTATGAATTTTTGGTGAAAAAAATGTATCCTATGTACTACCTTGTACTTTGAAAACACATAATTTCCTTATTTTGAATACACATAATTTCCTTGTATACGATGCATAAATCAAAGAATAATCATTTCTATTTCTGAAAACGAAGTCTGGTTAAAGAAAATTTCTTTTGATGTTTTCCAAGGAAAGAACAAGACTGAAACCAATAGTAACGTCTTTAAAACCCTGTTGTCTTACATTTCAGCGTATGATGGTGTCATTATGATTGGACGACAAGCAGACCGTAACACATCACAAAATAGAAGATTACCGCCAACCCCTCTATCTATTGCGTCTCAAATGACGATTCGTCAAAAGACTGAAGACCAGATGCCTTCAAACTGGTCAAAAAATAGAAAGGCAACCAACTGTAAAGATAACCTAGAAATACAGCATAAATCGAGGGAAACTCAACGCGAGTGCGGTGTAAAACATAGCTTAAAAGGCGGTAATGCGGTAAACATTAAAAGTAGAAACAATTTAAAGCAAACCGCAGTGAAAGATAATTGCAGCAATAACGCTAATATGACAAAGAAAAGACAATCAGCTGTAAAGGATTCACTGTTTGTGCCTGAAATTCTTATTTCGCATGTCGGAAATGATGACGAATATGGCCAAACGAATACGTCTAAAAATGTTTACGTTTGCGGGAATCTTGATAACGACATGTGGCATCGTCTGCTTGTTGATTTGTGTAGAGAATTTTCGGTACGTTGTATCTCGCCATCAGAATACCCAGAATGCAATAAATGGTTATCAAAAACTGATGTTTTCGTATTTCTTATGGATGACGTATCAGTGATAGAACCAGCGTTCAAGGACCAACTTCGAATGGCATTAATGTTAGACTTATATATTGTTTATGTCCGAGACTTAGGTTTCGAATTGAAAACGGGTGGAAGGTGGGATGGCATTTGGAAATCAGAAAATGTGAAGGAACGTTCAAATCCAGAACAGGCTGATCCGAATATAAAAGCCGAAATGTTGATAACACAACAAGTACGTCCGGATATTGCCAGTTTAGAGGAAGGTGGGAGAAGGAGAAAAAGTGTGGACGAGAAAGAAGATATGTATCTGGGATCTGTAGATTCGGCCACTATTATTCATCCAAGTAATATATCGGTGATAAGAGACAATCTTAATTCAAGCACTAAATCAGACTATTTATCGAGTGACACTTACCGAGCAACATTATCAGCAGATGAATGTGGCAAAGTTTATCCTGGCGGAGAAATTGACATAAATGAAGTTATTGAATCTGAATACGGCACGTCATTAGTTTATCATGACCTTTATCACCCAAAATGTCTTGAGAGAATAATTTCTTCTATAAAAAGTCATGACCCGAAGGTAATAAGTGGAGCAACGTCGCTTACACGCAGTCAACATTCGTTGATGAGTAGTACAATGTCTCTAGGTCATCGCAGCCGTTCCGTATCATGTAACGAATTGTCGCACGATGGAACTCGCCCTTATTTGCATACGCCAGCATTGTCGATGTTTTCTAGCGTGAGCAATGACTCGGCGGTAGGAGACATGTTCCACAGAATGTCGCCGGAACCTTACGCCCAAGAAGCAGACGAACACTTGCCGGCCGAGCGTTCTTTCTCTCCTAACGACAATTCGTTATCAAGCAGACAATTCAGCCAATCAGAAACAATTTATATTGTATCACCAGACAGTGGTAATGAAAAACTTAGAGTTTTTCATTGGCCAGAGGATGTTGAAAAAGAGTCCATTGCAAATTCACCGTCTATAGACTCACTTGGATTTCAAGACATTGACTTAAGTAAGCAGGTTAATGAAATTGACCTTTTTGATGGATACATCACTGACTGAAAGCAATTCTACTTGATTTACTGTCGTCCATGCTTGCATTCCTCAATAAAAGAAATAGCTATCCATCTGATTTAGAAAAACTTATGTGTAGTTTATTGTTTTAAGTATCGGCTCATAGTTTAACAACTACTGCTGAAAATGTTGTAGAAGAAAAAATCAACAGCAAGAAAGAAATGAGGGTTTTTCTTTCAAACTACAAGAAACTGTTTTATTCATTTGATACTTTGACACCTTACAACCTGCACCTTACTATACCTAGCATGATGCTTGAATTGTACATGTACTTGTTGATTTGTTATTAAATAAAAATAAAACCTGAAATGTCTTTTGGTATTAGCAGTTCCATACACTGGTGTATTTCAGCATCTTTTATTCTATTGCAAGAAATTCTGTTACTTAACAAATATTTCGTTATTATTAAATCTAAGAGTCCTTTTCTCATTTAATTGGGACAGGCTCTTGTCTTGTATTTAAAATATAAAGATAAAAACCATGACATAAAACTGTATATAAACCACATGAATATAATTTTAATAATCAAGTTAGTATAAAATATGGACCTAGTCAAAGCAATAGCATGAGCATAATAATGATAATAAATACGGGTTATATAACCAGTAACTAGAAATATAGCTTAAATATCCGTATTGTTTGAAATGATGAGTTTAGATTCAGATTCGTGCAAATTCTCATGAAAATTTTGAAATTATATTTAAAAGTAAATTTAAAATATTGTGAGGTACATTAAGAAAGTAATTTACACATTGCAAACGGCACCTACAATCCACGTAAATTACCAAAACGAGTTCAAAATATGCTTACTCACAAAAAAAACCCCTAAAAACAACAAACAAACAAATAACTGTGTTAGTCACGCAATAAAAATAGTGTGATGAATACTGAAAAATAAGTGATAAAATCGCGCACAACTTAAAAAGTATTGCTTGAGTTTTGAATATTTTTACGTCTCTTAAAATCTTTGTACATTTTTCTCAAGTTTAATTTTCTTAAACTATATATCTGGAAGCTTGTATCTTAAATAAACAACACTTAACTCATGTCCAGCTCAAATAGTTATCAGAAACAGAATGTTCGAAACTCAATGATACATTATATGTAAACAAACCGGTTCATAGAAACAGTTTGGTGTAGCACCTTAATACAGTATAAGAAAACAGTAGTTTTATATTAAACCGGTTCATAGAAACAGTTTGGTGTTGCACCATACATAGTATGCATGTACATGTATATAACAATAGTTTGTTAATAGAGACAGTAAGAGACAAATGAAACTTGCTCCTAGAAACAAAGAAGTGTAGTTTAAATTAGTAATAATCGGGTTAAAGGTACAATATATATCTAATCTTGCCATTTGAATCAATCAATTATATTTGTTTATAGTAAATTCATCGTGCAATCAGATATAAGATATAATCTAAATAGAATAGGTTTGGTTTCTGATATAAGAGTTTACGTTTTTAAATTAAACAATACATTAACCGTATAAAAAGGGTAGGTTCAAAACAATAAAAGCGACAGAATGCATATATATTGTAATATCAGCAAAACATGTCAATATTCAACAAGTTAATCTAATCATAGTTGATGGACTACGTATTGACTTCATTACAGCTCAAATATTCGAGAACTTCAATATAATGATATAATGAAATTGACGAAAAGATAAATATTGCCGCCAATTTTGATGTCTGTAACTGTCTGCTGCGAACAGACACATTGTATGCAAAAAAAACAAAACAACAATAGATGGAAAAAATAAAAATTAAAAACAAAAAGCAATAACAACAAAAAACACACAAACTTGAAGGTGAATACACAGCAAAAATAGTGAAGCCAATAGAAAAAGTTCAGACCACCTATAGAAACAGGTAACATTTTAAGGCGTATATTTTAATACATTTCAATAAAACATAGTTCTATCTATCATAACAACTACTCCAGCACAAAACACAAGGGGTTTTGTTCGTCCTTGCCAATGAATGAAACAGTTTCAAAAATTTAATGTATAGAAGAACGAATGTGTTTATGTTTTCTTCTATAATGTTATATAGCTATCAATTATTGCCTGCCATCTATGGCAATATAATAATAGGGCTTTTAGTTATAATTTCTGTTGACTGTCTGCTGCATTAACGATCATAAAATATTAGTAAGATATTCTCACTGCCATATTGGGAGAGAGGAGTTTTGTTGTTTTGTTATTTTTATTTGGTAAAAAGTGTTTTAATTAAAGGTTTGTGTGAATATTTTGTTGTTGTGTTTTCCATTCGGATTTTTCGTTGTACATGAAATCTCTTTTTTAAACGGATGCTCTTTATTTATTTTTTTATTGCACTCTGTGCTAATGACCATCTTAAACAAACGCATTAAATAATAACATTTAATCAAGTATGATAAATAAAAATTCTCTAAGCCCGGTATTCTGATGCTCTGACTGCGACACTTTTTTTTATAAGAATGACGCCATTTGTGAATGTCATTTCGGAGACGCAGGTGTAAGCAGCTTGAGTGTAATTAACACGAGCAATAAATGTCTTCTTGCAAGAAATGTTCGGAACAAAATACCCTCAAATTTATTATTATACATCAGTTCAAACTATAAAGACGTGACTTTTACAAAGTACAGATTTGATGTTTTCAGAAGACAAACATGTTTTTCATACATTTTCTCTCTATATAGGCCGTGCATGAAAACTAAGTTTAAGATAAACTTAAATTCCGTTTAGTCCTTGAAAATATTTCTGAGGTCACCTTTTGAACCGTCTGGAACAGTTTGTTTTAAAATCAACCAAAGATAGATTTAGTCATGTAGAAAGAATCTTACTTGTATTAATTTCCGGTATTCTTTTAGTATCAGGTGTAACTAACTCAAATCAATGCACAGCTTGAACGAGCCCCATTTATAGTCTAAAAATATTTAAAGAAATATCAATTGAGAAAGTAATGTTAGATATTTCATCAACACAAATGAATTTAGCATTTGAATTATAACTCTTTATTCTGGAAGCAATAACAGACTTTCTCGTGTAACATCTGCGGTTGCCACAGCCTCTCGATTAATGAATATCTTTTTTTTTTGTTCCCAGTGATCAAAGGAATTACTCGGCGTAAATAACTATCAAAATAAATTAATGATTCACAGATGGAATATTAACTGATGAAACATCTTTTAGTAATCTCAGTAGTTTTCAGTTCATCTACTAAAAAGATAAACTTAATTGTTCTACAGAGAGGAAATCCTCAAAATTAGAAATCAAACGCAGCTTCATTATACGAAAGACAATTTAGTTTTGAAATGTGACTGATTGAATTACCCATACTGGAATATGTGCTTTTAGCATATGAATTCTTTCGCAACTTTTACATAATAAATCTATTAACAAATTTATCTTACGGAACAATCTTATAGAAGATATTAACATTTTACCGGTAATATATGGCTGCGAGCTTTTTTGCAAATATAAAAGTATATACTGATTGAGATTAAATCTTTTCATTTTCTAAACTCATTATGCCACGTGAATATTTTCATACAGGTGTAAGCATAGAGGATGGAGCATAACTAGAACTTGTTAAAGCAGCATGCCTCCAGATGCATGCTAATTTTCATGAAAATATTGAAAATGTGTTTAAAAGTTTTATTGTGAAGTGAACAAAATAAGTATTTTACACATTCCAAACGGCACAAAATATGCAAAAATAACTTAGTGCGTAAGTCACGCCTTAGAAATATGGTGATAAATACTGAAAAATCGGTGATTAATATCACATAACATGTAAATTATTGCTTGAATCTTGAACCCTTTTACTTGTCTTAAAATCTGAGTAATTTTTCTCAAGTTAGATTTTCTTGAACTATTTGGCTTATCTGGAGGCATGCAACTGTATGAAATAAGTATAAGTCAATTTACCAGTCTTTTGTTCAGTAAAGATGATTATTTACAATCGCAATATCCGAAGTGGGACAAGTACATTACTTGCAAAATACAGCTTTTGTTTGACAATGTTTGGATTTCTTTCTTACAAAACATATATTTTTATTACTGACCGCATGAATATATATCTAATTTGGCTGACATTTGGCTGACAAAATACGAAGAAATCTCTTCAAAAAGTGGTAATATTTTGACTAATCCATTCAAAGGATTTGTTTTTATTTACAAAACTCGCCGCTCCTAGAAATCCTGAAATTACACGCTAAATAAACAACAGTATCCCGTGTTTTACAGTTACATTAAGATTATTTATTCCTTATAACTAAGTCAATTCTGCCCTTTCATTTTGTCATGCTTCTTTCTAATTACGTTCTCTATACAGCAGGATTGTCGGGAAAGTAGCTTAATAATTAATCATTATAGAAGAATAAAATTAGTAGTCATTCAATAAACCTCTCCTAGATACGCAGTTTCCTGGTCAAAACAAATACATGTATAAGTACGAGAAGAATATTAGTGTACACCATAATAGTTTCTTATAGATTTTCGTAGAGACTTTTTTTGTGGTTTTACGTTCCATCAACACTGGAAAGATCAAATGACGAGCTCCAGCTCAACTGGTAGGGGAAGACCCTAAATGCATCTTCGTGCATTATTTTAGGCAAGGATGGTCTCTAGAGTAGATCCACCGACGTTCCGTTAGCAAACTGGATAGCTTCCTCACAATAAAGAATCCATAACTGAACCTATAGGGGAAAGGGTCAAGTGGTTTGAAGTCAACCACGAAGTTCGTTCGTAAAGACAAACAAGAGGGCCATGATGGCCTTGAGGTCGCTCACCTGTATATAGGCCCTGTAACACCGCAAAACGTCCGTACCGCAAAACGTACGTATATGGACGTTTTGCGGCGCATATCGTCCTCATTTTTCTGACGTACATTTTGCGGCAAAAAGACATGGTCCTGCCGCATAATGTCCATATTTTAAAGTTTATATAATTTTCGTTAATTTTGACCAGTTATTATCAGGTGTTATTTTCTGTTAATTCTAGCTCAACTGAGTATGCGCCTGTCTGTCTGTCCGTCCAAATTTAGCTTGTTACCACTCTAGCAAGCAAGCAATATGTCCAGAGTTAACTGCCCTTGAATTACATTATCTGTATTTATAAGTATTTCACATTGTTACCACTCCAAGGTTTCCATTTCTTCTTCAATCTCAGAATATCTATGACCATAAAATCTCAGCAAAGTTAGATTATAGGCTAAATATAACAAAAAACAACAACAAAAAAACGCACTATATTTCACCTTGT